GACGCACAGGTGAGGGAAAGGGCGACAAGAAGCGAGTGGTAAGCGCTGTTCGCCTATCGCTACTCCCATTCGACTACTTGTGGACGACTGTCCGTAAGTTCGCCGAAGAGACCAAACTGTTGTCCATCGATGACCTGTCGCTGGTGTCTGCGGCCAAAGCGCGACTCACCGAATACAAGCCTGACATCCGAGAGCGGGCCCACTGTCTGCCCAACGCCACGGATGTGGTCGCTCTGAGGGCCAAAACACAGCTCTCGACCCGCGTATTGAAGGGCAAAGTCGGTGATGTCGGCGAAGAGGCCAACGCCGTGGAACTGGACTTAGGCCTGCCCTACGTGTTGACCGGTATGGGAGTAATGCTCTCGTCGTCCGGCAAAACCCGATACGCTTTCAAATTGGAGACATCTATGGATCGCAAAGACTGGCAAATGTTGTATGACTTCACTAAATATCATACGAGCAATAAATTGGATCTAATGTTCAATCCGTTGGTCGCCAGATATGTCCGCCTTTCCGACGGTTAGTGACGGCTTTTGTGACCCACTTTTGGGCCATATTTTTGTGTTTTCATTGATTATTTATTGTCAGCATTTTTGCGAGTTTTTTTGTTTGCTTTAAGTATCAATTCAATTGAGTTTTACCGTATTGTAGGCTATTTTGCATGTTTTTAAACCATAATTATAATTTCATTTTTACATTAATGTGTTTGTGGTCTCATTGTAGCCGTGAGTTACCCGGATTGGGCGGAAAAGCGCAAAGACTCGAAGCCGGTGCGCAAAATCACGAATCTGGTGGCCGTGTATGAGGAGCCGCAGGGAGTGGTCCAACTGCGCGACCACTTGTTGGCCTCGAAATACCTGCTCCGAGACTTGGCCTGCGATTTCACGTACACCTCGTGGCACAAGAAGGCGGGCAAAACATACTACGTTTCGGCCCTCAACGACCCCATCATTTGCATACTCTCACAGCCCGTATGGATGGACACGATCTCACTCTTCGTGCCCGACGACGAGCCCGAGAAGGAGTGGAACTTTACCGTTGAGGTCACCGCCGATCCGGACGTCGACTTCAAGACCGCCAAAGTTGTGGAGAGCGGTGGCGGCGGCGGCAGCACAAGGGGTGCCAAAGGGGGTGTCAAAAAGGTGGCCAAAGGGGGCAATGGGTGGCAAATGGTGGGCGACTTCCGCGAAGAGGCGCGCAAAGGCGACGTTGAGGTGGCGTTCGAGCCGACAATAGTGAACGCCTTCCGTCTGACGGCTACCCGACTGTCGGGCGGCACCTATAAGGGAAAGGAGAGGGACTTTGCCGTCGAGATCCGTATTTAGCGCACAGAATATTCTGTAGGAATTTTGTGGGTTTTCTGTGTTTAATATAATGTTTTTTTCTGGTTTTTTCATGTATTTTGCGCTCTTATTCTAGTGGATAATCCGTGGATAATATCTCGCGTATGGATTATCTCGATATCTATTCATGTATTTAATTGTAAGAATTTTATTTGATTTTTAGTTAAATTTTTTAATTTAAGTACTTTTTATAAAAT